TGCCCCATGAGAGAATAACAAAAACCCTCCATACCCCTGGACTTCTTCATTAATCAAGAATCCAATGCAGCTTTAAAAATATTCAATGACACTGCGCTCACCTTCTATAGACTTTCAAACCTCTGTGCGAAAAGATTTCTCCTCATCTCCATATTAAAAAGAAACTGTCCCCTCGTTCTAGGTTCCATCACAAATGAACTACCCTCTCAGCATATACCCTAAGAAGCTGTGAGGATCTTGTATGTCTCAATAAATGACCCTTCATTCTTCTAAACTCCATTGGAAATAGGCCTAAACTGTCCTACCTTTCCTCATTGGATAACAGCCATACACCCTCCCCGCCTCAATTGCAGGAATCAGTGAGCTTGCGCCGAGCTGCTTCCTTTTGATTTTTTCACCCAACATTCCCCCTGCTCCCTTCCCTAATCCCTTTCTATTGCTTAAAACTAATTACGTTTGTAACTTTTTCCTATTCAGCTCATTGACTTGAAATGCTGTCTCTGTTTTCCTCTCTCATTTGGTATAACAAACAAAGGCAGGACTTGTACAATTAAAAGCAGGGCCTTGGGTAGTGTTGTAGAACAGAGAGACCTAGGGGTTCAGGTACATAATTCTTTGAACTTTGCGTCACATATAGATAGTGTGGTTAAGAAGGCGTTTAGCACGCTTGCCTTCATTGCTCAGTCCTTTGAGTATAGGAGTTGGGAAGTCATGCTGAGTTTGTACAGGACATTGGTGAGACCTCTTCTGGAGTACTGTGTCCAGTTCTAGTCACCATGTTATAGGAAGGATATCATTAAGATGGAGAGGGTTCAGAAAAGATTTACCAGGATGGTGCCAGGAATGGAAGGTTTAAGTTATACAGAGAGGCTGGATTAGTCTGGGACCTTTTACACTGGAGTATAGGAGAATGAGGGGTGACCTTAAAGAGGTTTATAAAATTATGAGGGGTATAGATAGAGTTAATGGTTGGTGTGTTTTCCCTGGGGTGGGGATTTCAAGATGAGAGGGCGTATTTTAAGGTGAGAGGAGAGAGATTTAAAAAAGACATGAGGGGCAAAATTTTTTACACAGAGAGTGGTTTGTGTGTGGAATGAACTTCCTGAGGAAGTGGCAGATGCCAGTACAATCACAACGTTTAAAAGACATTTATATAATTACATGAATAGGAAAAGTTTAGAGGGGTATGGGCTACGCGCAGGTAGGTAGGCCTAGTTTAGTTTGGGATTATGTTTGGCATGGACTGGTTGGACCAAAGGGTCTGTTTCCATGCTGTATGACTGCCATAGAAGATGGTTGAGGCCAATGTTTTCAAAAACGAGTTAGATATAGTTCTTGGGGATAAAGGCATCAAAGGGTATGGGGAGAAAATGGGAACAAGATACTGAGTTGAATGATCAGCTGTGATCATATTGAATGGCTGTATAGGCTTTCAGGGCCGACTCCTGCTCCTATTTTCAAAGTTTCTATATAGATTTCTGTGTAGATTCAGTGTGTTTACCACGAGAAATGCTATCACATGCTGCAGGCGAGGCACTGATGTAGCATGGTGCTGTACAGCAATGTGCCCACGCCACGTTGTCGAACAGAGAGACCTCGGGGTTCAGGTACACAGTTCTTTGAAAGTTGCGTCACAGGTAGGGTGGTTAAGAAGGTGTTTAGCATGCTTGCTTTCATTGCTCAGAGCACTGAGAATGGGAGTTGGGATGTTATGTTGAGGTTATAAAGGACGTTGGTGAGGCCACCTTTGGAGTACTGTGTGCAGTTCTGGTCATCCTGCTATAGGAAGGATATTATTAAATTGGAGCAGGTTCAGAAAAGATTTACCAGGATGTTGCCAGGGCAAGAGGCTGGTGTAGAGCGTGACAGGTTGAGAGGTGACCTTATAGAGATTTATAAAATCATGGCAGCATAGATGGGGTGAATAGCAAAGGTCTTTTCCCTAGGGTGCAGGAGTTCAAAACTGGGGGGCATATTTTTGGAGTGAGAGAAGAAAGATTTGAAAGGGACCTGCGGGGCAACTTTTTCCACTTTTCGTGTATGGAATGAAATGCCAGAAGAAGTGGTAGATGCAAGTACAGTTACAACATTTAAAAGACATTTGGACAGGTACATGAATGGCAAAAAATTTAGAGGGATATGGGCCAAATGCAGGCGAGTGGGACTAGTTTAGTTTGGAATTATGTTCGGCATGGATGAGTTAGATTGAAGGGTCTGTTTCCATGCTGTATGGCTCTATAAAATAACTGATAACTTAAGTACATTTCACAAGAGTGGGGTGTATATCGTTCTCGTAAACGCCACTGAAGTCAAATTGAACCTTTTTGGGCACAAAGGCATTGTTCTTCATGTATTTTGTAATGTTTACATGAAATGTAATTTCAAAAGATGGTGCTCCCAGAAGCAGAACTTACTGCATGTAAAACCAACCTAGGAGACATTACCTGCTGCGCCGTTTTTACAGGTGAGAGAGGTACTCCTTGCCGGCTCAGAACTGGCACAAACTGGTTGCTGATCACAGTTGCAATCACTTGCCCTTGGGAGTTCAGCAGCATCTGTGGTGTAACTGCTTGCACTTGTAGGCTCTGTGCTGCCACTGCTGTCACTGGGTTGGTTGTTGTTATTGTTGTTGGGTTCATGACTAAGGGAACAGTTCCTATGACCTGCATTTGAGAATGACAAAATCAGTCGTGGGATACAGTGAAAAATAGGAACTGCCAAAATCAGAAAACTTCTGCCATGAGATTTTACAAGAATCCCTTATTTGGCTATATTGTTAAGTGATTTTCACAGCCTGTTTTTAAACAATGCGCTGAATAGAATGAGGTCACTAATTTCCACATGTTGACTGTACTAGACACCATATCCTTTTTATTTTTAGACTATGGATGAAAATGGGAAATATGGGCACTGCTTCAAAAAGAGAATGGACAAGGAGTTTTTCGCAGCTTTGGAAAAACACATGAAGTTAACTGATGTGTACGAGACAATGGGGCCATGGATTCCAGACAAAGTGGAACCGTTTGTTATGAGTTCAGGAGAGCTCAACATAGCAACAAGCCTTTAATTAGTCTGGTTACAATTGAGCACAGTCTCCGTGATGGGAGTGAAAGACAGAGAAGCAAGAAGATCTCCAGACGTTAGCTGCATTAATCTCTTTCTCTCTCCCCACTTTCTTCAGTTGCTGTTTTCTCCAAACTTCTGTTGAAAGGGCAGAAAAACTACATTTGGAGATGCTGGAAGAAATAATTCTAAAACCTAAATACAACCAGAAAGACTCCAGGTCAAACTAAACAGCCAGCAAACTACAGATGCATCATCGCTGCAGGTCTCATCCAAGAACTGAAGACTGTGGAGCCAAACTCTCTAGTTTTGTGACTTTGAACTGGTGCACAGAACTGTATTGCTCTGTTTGTCCTCCATTCATAATATGTGTTTTGTATTATGAATGTCTATGACAGCTTAAAAGAGACAAAGTTCAAGTTACATAAATTAGAAATTCTGTTCTTTTACCATTCTTGTTAAATTTAAGAGTGTAACAATAAATAGTTATTTTTATTGTTACTGAAGTAACCTGGTGTGGTTTACTTTTATCCTGGGTAGCAGTAAGTCAGCAGCAAACTGAGATTCGTGATAGTGTCGCTGAACCTTCACAGTTTTGTAGCAACTCCAGGAATAGCGAGGCTTGATTTCCACAGCACAATCCCAGTGGGTCTTGACAACTGCATGAAATGTTGGGGGGGGAGTCGGGGTGCATGGTAAGTTCATTTACATGGCTGTCTTGTGCTGAAAGCAATGTACGTTTGTTAAGGCCACTCCTGTGAGGTGATTTGGGTGGTGGACACAAGTATCAGGTCAATGAGCCTCCATTTCTATTCAGTCAGTTTATTTAAGACATAAAGTTAAGACAAACATAGTAATCTATATCAGGCCCCATTTGATAAGCAGGAACATACTGGGAACAGAAATGAAGGGCTGGATGTTGTCTACAGTGTGCCATTACCAACCCAGCGACTAGAACTGTGCACCATTTCTGCTTTCTCCCTTTTGGCTTTTCCTGACACAATCATAATTAAAATTTGAAGTGCCAGCAGCATATATGGGAAACACATTCAATTTAGCATCTGTGTTGAAGGACATTGTTTGAGATCACTCAGAATGGATCATTAAAATCATAGAATCATAGAATTGTACAGAACTGAAGGAGGCCGTTCGTTCCTTCGTGTTTGTACTGGCTCCCGAAAGAGCAGTTGTGCATGAAGCCATAGCCCCATAAGGACTGTGCTAGCCAACACCCTGAGATGGACAAACATTGGACAATACTGACACTGTCCGCTAGGCCCATCATTTTCTTACTCTGAAGACCTCCTTTTTTCATTTTTCCATATTTTTGACTGTGGGCTAATATGAAGAAAGGAATGTTTTAAAACCAAGGACAGGGGAAGAGGTTGCTGCACTTCAAGAAACAGGGTGGCACGGAGACTCAGTGGTTAGCATTGCTGCCTCACAGTGCCAGGGTTACAGGGATGGGGGGTGGGTCTGGGTGGGATGTTCTTTGGAGGATCGGTGTGAACTCAATGAAGTGAATGGCCTGCTTCCAGACTGTAGGGATTCTATGAAACAGGTTACTGGAACTCATTGTGTGTTATGTTTACGTTGCTGTGTTGCAAGCTATGGAGGAGGAGAGATAAGATGATATGGCACTGAGTTGGATGAGATGCAGAATGAGTTTTTGTCCAGCAACAGGTAGCTGACTGGTTTGTGTAACTGTGACCAATTACAGATATTGGACATCATCAGTCTGATGACAGCTTTCTTATTGGTTCCTGGGCAGGTGAACAGCTTGGTTGTTTACAACAAAGGGAGAGAAGCCCTCGGACTATGGACCAAAAAGGTTCTCTCTATATCTCTGCAGTAAAAGTAACCAAAACCTGAAGAAAGCTGTTATTTTCTCTCATCAGTTGGTCTGAGCTGTTGCATTTAATAATTAACACTTGACATTATAATTAGTGTATCATTCGCCCTGTGCCTTCTGCGAAGAAGTGGAAGACCTGGAGAAGAAGATCAGAGTACAAAAGACTTTTCAAAGCAAAAGAAACATCTCATCGAACCCTGTGAATGGATGCTATTAAACTGTGTTTCCCCAGGGTTTTTCCTCCACCCATAACACCAATTTTTTTTTGTTTGTCTATGTGTGTCTGTGTGATTAGGGGTTTTAAAAGTAGGTTGAAGAGCTATACATTGATAATTTACAGTTTTGTCTTTCTGTGGCTTGAATTTATTCATTTGTAATACATAGTAGTTCTTGTTAAGTGCAAGAACCTGCTTAGTGTTTTATGTCAGCCTGATTCCATCAGACAGGTAAACTGGGGTCTTTCAGTACTTTGATTAAACCATTATCTTTGTGACAACCCCAGGAATAGTGGGGCTTGAGAATCTGCGCACTTTCGCAAGTGGGTCGTAACATTACCTTGACAGACTAGGCCCTTCCTACTTCATGGCTCCAGCTTCCCGACTCCTTACCACTGACTTGTCCTTTCTGGTCCAGAGCCTCCATGCAAGCTGCCGTTCGCCTGCGCCGTAGAGTGAAACACCAAAAACTGCTGACTTTGCAAACAGCTGCACAAAACTGACAGTTCACCATTTTGAACTGATTAGGAATCCTGTGGTACACATTCACCTGACCTTAGTAAAAATGACTTTGTGTTTATGAATATTCATGATATGCAGATGTATTACAAGTATGGACCTGCAAAAGATTGGTGGTACTGTTCGACACAAATATGTTACTGACTTTATCTCTGCCCATCATTGGGAAATCAAACTTTCTCATCCTGCCAGATTAATTACCCGCAGGCACCAGTCTTCCCACCTTTGTAAGCTCCATTAACCACCCCACTCACCCCAAAGATTCTACATCTCACAGACTTTGCCTACTTCAGCATATCAAATAAATACAAATAAGTTGAACTTGGGTAGTAGCAACCTCCAACACTTTTGTGAAGCCAGAAAATACATTCCAGGTTAAAAAAAAATTCTAGGTTGTTGTTTGGAGGAGCCAGCAGTTGGTATTTTAACGATTACTGGCTAGGCCACTCAATGCCAGGTCATATAGGTACAAATGGTACATTCTCCATCTGCGTCGTAAAATTGCAATCCAGATTCTCACTATATCATATGAACCTAATTTACATAACCAAGAGGACTACTGCCAAAAATAAACAGTTTCCAGTGGTTCAAAGGGTGCTCCCTTTAAAAATGACAGTGGCTAAAAGGCTGGTGTTAATGAAGAACCAAGTCTTTGCTGCTGTTACTGCTGTGTTCATGCTAATTTAACCAGATGGCAAGTGACCTTAAAGTAACTGTTGTTCTTACTGCAGAAGTTCCGGGCTGGCTTGACTTATGCAAGAGCAAGCAGAAAGTACTCTGCTCCTACTACAGAATTGTTGAACAAAATAACTGCCTGCTCCCTCCAGGTTTGGGTGTCAGCAGGAACAGTTTATGCATATGCTCAATCAGCCACTCATGCTAAAGCGTGCTGCTTGCTGGTTGGCAACTGCTGGGTAATGATGAACTTTTTCCATCTTATAGAGTCGTAGAGATGTACAGCATGGAAACAGATGCTTTGGTCCACCTCATCCATGCCGATCTAGTCTCATTTGCCAGCATTTAGCCCATCTCCTCTCTAAACCCTTCCTATTCGTGTACCTGTCCAGATGTTTTTTTAGATGTTGTAATTGTACCAGCCTCCACCACCTCCTCTGGCAGCTCATTCCAAACATGCACCACCCTCTGTGTGAAAAAGTTGCCCCTTAGGTCTCTTCGAACTCTTTCCCTCTCACCTTAAACCTATGCCCTCTAGTTTTGAACTCCTCCTCCCCAGGGGAAAGACCTTGTCTAGTTACCCTATCCAAGCCCCTCATGATTTTATAAACATCTATAAGGTTACCCTTCAGCCTTTGACGCTCCAGAGAAAATAGCCCCAGCCTATTCAGCCTCCCCCTGTAGCTCAAGCCCTCCAATCCCAGCAACATCCTTGTAAATATTTTTGGAACCCTACCAAGTTTAACAACATCCTTCCTATAGCAGGGAGACCAGAACTGAATGCAGTATTTTACAAGTGGCCTAACAAATGTCTTGTACAGCCACAACATGACATCCCAACTCCTATTCTCAATGCACTGACCAATAAAGGCAAGTGTGCAAAACTATGTTTGAAGATTTCCCACTTAGTAACTTTAGTGCCCAGTTCATGTGGGCCAAATTCCTTCTTAGCTCACAAAATATTATACTTTTCCAGTCTATTGCCTTGTTTTTGACTACTCCATCACCTTTACCTATTGGGCTGCCAAGAGGTTCTGTACACTACAAAATGTGTGACTGTTCAATCAGACCGTGTGGAGCAACTGGGTTCACAAACAGACAGAAATTTTTGGAGAAACTCAGCAGGTCTGGCAGCATCTGTAGAGAGAAATCAGAATTAAAGTTTTGGGTCCAGTGACCCTTCTTCCGAATGAGTCAACAGATAAGAATGTTTTTTTTTGACCATGTATCAAGACATGTGATAACATGGGAAGATGGGCAAGCAAAGAATTTTGCATAGATACAGCAATCAATAATCTGAGACTGTCTGTCATCTCGGGGACACAGCTTCAGACTAAGTCACAATTACCGGTGTAAAAGTCATAGTTCTTTGCAGATAAGGGGGGAGAATGGCAGATGTGCAGACAATCTAAACTGTTCTCAGAAATAAAACCAGTGACAAACACCTGCCTCACCACCATTCAGTAGAAGCAAGTACTTGTGACTCACCTAGCCTGAGCGATAGTCTCTACATCTTCCTGTTTCACATATAGATCTGGTGACTTTTACTGCTGGTAGTGTGTATTGGGATTTGATGGGAAAGATAGTCAGAATGTTAAGCTGCTCTGTTCAACTTCCCAGTGCAACAAATACATTTTTATTACTGTGTATACAAATTGGATAAACTTCCAACCTGGTGCAGACTTACCTGTCCTTGTGCATTAGTTATGATCTGACTTGTAATTCCTTGGAAGCTGGGCACAGCATTTGCAATAACTGGAGTGGCAGTCAAAGAACCCACAAGTGAAGGTTGACTACTAAGCTATCAAAGGAGGGAAAAAGAAATCATCCAAAAATGCCAAACACAGCTATGATATAAAATCAAAATACACAGGGTATGCACAACGTTTCAAACTCTTAATTTATCCTTTCCTTTTTCAGATGCTGATGGACCTTGCTGCGCATTCCCAGTGTTTAGAATCACAAGAAGGTATAAAGGAGATTGTGAAACAAGCCTCTGCATCTACTCTTTCCACTCGGGACCTCAGTTAGCTGCAACCTGCAAGACAGACGTCAGTACAGCAATATACTTAGCACGAGGTGAAAGTAAACTGGCATTTTGCGCTAAGTGAAATAAACTGCCAGGGAACATAAGGTTTACTTCAGAAGATGTGTGTTTAAAGTTCTTAATTCTGTACTTTTGATTGCTATAAGGATCCTGTACAGGTCTGAAGAGAAAAAAAAAAATCTTGATGATTTCTTCACGCATCTACTAGCTACTCTGCTGCAAGATGGTTAATGTTCTACCATTTCCAGAGACCAGGATTGCTGCTGTTCCTCAAAATAAGCATCTGGACAGCCTGCAGCTCATTCTGTCAATTCTCTTTCCAGTTTACTTAAAGGTACCCATCAGGTGGTTCAAACATTGGAATTGTTTTTTGAAGTCCAAAAGACATTACATGTTGCTGAGTTTTACTTTCTCCGTGGAACTCTTTGGAGCACTGACTTCTCTAATTCTGTGCCTTTAGTTTCTTTCAATCCATTAGTGAAACAGAAACATTTGCTGTTGATAAAAAGGAAGAATATTGCAAGTACACTAATGTGGTTGGAAACAATGATGCATGGGATGCTAAGAATACCACACATCTCAGAAGATTAGATCTGTTTCAACAGTTGCTGAATGGGTTAATGGCTGGCTCCACGGATGTTTCTTGGAAGATGCTGGAAAGAACTAACCAGTTTTAAGTTTAGTCCATTCAATCCCAATAGCAGTGCTATCAGGATTATGCATTTTAAGTAGTTCCAGGTGAAAAACATTATTGACTGTGTGCCTGGTGTGGCACAGCCTCCAGAAACAACATTTGTTCCTGGAGTCCGCATAATCACCACAGATAATGATACTCATCAGAATGGTTTTCCTCCTATGCCTATGAATCTCTGATTGTCCTCTCCTAATGTTACAGCTCCTTATCTTCCTGTCCTCTCAGACTTGATGCTGCAACCCTACCGTGTGTAGCACAAGGCTTCTCTCTACATTTTGATATTGAACTGCAATACTTTAACTCCACTCATGGATAATTAATGTGATGTTTGAATAAGGACATTCCTCACCAAATTATCAAGACCTTAAGAATCAAGAAAAAAGTTTGGTGTCGGGTCTACAACAGAATTATAGGAAGAATTAAAGCATGAGCAATTTCAGGAGGTGAAGCGACTGATAATGTTCCAAGCATTCACATACATTACTACAAACTGGCCAAATTCACTTTCTAGGAGATTCTTAGATTTTGTGGGCAGGATTTTTAATTTAAATGCGAGAATACGCATGGAGGGGAGCGGTCTGTCAGACCTCAACCTCTAGGGCTATGCCAGTTTCCTGATGCTGACACAGTAAGTTTAAAAGGCTCCAACAGAAGGTGATCTCACTCAAAATAGTGGACGGCCCTCTTAAAAATATATCTAGATAGTGGGTCTCTTGTGTCCTACGTCTGAGCCAGGCTGATGAGAAAAATAGGTTTTTAAAAAATCAGGCATGGGATTCCAACTCCATTTTGATTTAGCCCCCTTTTGCTCTCCCCTACCTCTCTCACACCTTTGATGGTTTGCATTGTCCTTAATAGGCTTTGCACAGAATTTATTTAATTGGAAACATGGTAATATAGATCGAAAAAAATATCATGGATGATTTGGTGATGGGAAAAAAAAACAAACATTCAGTTGTGTGTGATAACAATGCTGGATATAAAATAAAGGGATCCATGCCAGGACCTAACCACAACATGGCAACAGAAAGACACCACTGAAGAAGGAAGGCTCAAAGAAGAACCTCAGTTACAGATAATCACTTGTACAGTATCTGGAGAATTATCTATACTATCTCTTCATTCTGGACAGTGTATTTTGGAGAATTTATTTTTTATTCATTCAGGAAATGTGGGTTTTGCCAGCAGGACACAACTTACTGCCCATCCTTAGTTGACCTTGTTATATTTCCAAGTCAGGATGGTGAGAAGCTTGGAGGGGAACTTGCAGGGGGTGGTGTTCCCATGTATCTGCTGCCCTTGTCCTTCTAGATGGAAGTGGTCATAGGGTTGGAAGGTGCTAAGAACCTTTGGTGAATTTCTGCAGGGCATGTTGTAGATGGTACACACTGCTGCTGTCGAGCATCGGTGCAGGAGAGAGTGGATGTTTGTGGATGTGGTGCCAATCAAATGGGATGCTTTGTCCTGGATGGTGTTGAATTTCTTGAGTGTTGTTGCAGCTGCAATTATGAGATATTGTATTATAGTCTCTTTACTACTGTATTATAGGTCTCTTTTCCAACCCACTCACAAGTGCTCTACATTTACTAATACCACATTCCCATTCGTTCATTCGTAACCCTTTACTAACTCACTGTTTACTATAACGCGTTTTCATTCATTCATTCATAAAACTGAGATTTTTGTAGGGCATTTTACTATTGCGAGATAGACTAAATTAAAACATTCCTTCCAAACCCATTACTGCTTCTTCACATCTTCAACCCTTATCAGACCTATTTACATCAAAAGCTACCTCTGAATAAATATCAAAGACTACTAACCTGTTCAGAAATACCCTCACCGCCATAGTGTCAACCACCTGAAACTATGGAAAGATTATAATATTAATTGGCTCCTTAGCAACAGTCTGTCTGGACTTGGATAGGTTGTAGAACATCAAACAAGTTTCCTCCACTAGCATACACCTGTTAAATACATATTGAATAGGGCCTCTGTCCCCTTTAAGAAAGTTACTATCAAAACAGTGCTCCTGTAAATTGCATGAATGAATGAAACTCACACTAGCAAATAGTAAACAAAATCTCACGACCCAGCTGCAGTAATCAGTTTAATATCCTTTATACTTTTATTTAGTGCATGTATAATTTCTAACTTATTTAGATTATACAGGTCCAGTATTTTTTATTAACATTTACTAACGTTAAAGATAAAAGGACTAACACCTCTTAATTATGCAAGCAAACCGGACAGACACTCTAATCCGAGCAGCAGCCAGCACTTAGCAAATGTTTAAACAAATCTCCTGCTTCCCTGGGACAGATGTCACACAAACTTCTGTGTACAATAGATAAAACTGTATAACACCATAGTGATATAATTTTAATACATATAAGAACTGTGTATAAAGAGGCTACTGTAAGAACCATACTTTGGGATTCAATCGGCACCTCGAACTGTGCTACTGTGGATGCTCAATAAAGAGGCTATTTTGCCACTCACCGATTTCGGTCATTATTTCACACAGCGCCTAGCCAGGCAAGTGGGGAGTATTCCATCACACTCCTAACTTGTGCCTTGTGACAGCTTTGGGGAGACAGGTAAAAACTGAAAGAACTGCGGATGCTGGAAATCAGAAACAAAACAGAAATTGCTGGAAAATCTCAGCAGGTCTGGCAGCATCTGTGGAGAGAAATCAGAGTCAATGTTTCGGGTCCAGTGATCCTTTCTCAGAACTGGGCCAGAAACATTAACTCTGATTTCTCTCTACAGATGTTGCCAGACCTGCTGAGCTTTTCCAGCATTTTCTGTTTTGTTTGGGAGTCAGGTGGTAGTCACTCACTACAGGATGCCTAGTCTCTGACCTTCTTTGTAGCCTCAGTATTTATAAGTCTGTTCCAATTCAGCTTCTGGTCAAGGATAACATCCAGGATGTTGCCAATGAGGGACTTGGTGATGCCAGTTGCTGCTCCTAGCATGCCCTCCTGCACTCTCCATTGAACTAATAGCCTAGAGGAGGTGAGTGGGCAGGTATCTCTGCCACCAAAGCTGCAAGACACTACCACTGATGGCACCTGTGAACAAGGGTCATCATTGAACAGGTTTCTGAAGAGGAGGCTCAGGTACCTTGGTAAGTTGTGTGGCACAATCCAGTTCACTCCCTCCAGAGTCTCAAACATTATGGTGGTCTGTCGCACTTTCCATAACTTGGGTCTCCCGAGAAGCGTCAACCTCGAACAGAGTAAAATGCTGGAATGGCACAGCACCTCAGATCGAAGAAGAGGTGGAGGAAAACAAGGACGAGGCTGATGAAGAACTGTCCCCGTGCTAGGCTCAGGAGGCAAAGTGTACATCGGAGTAGCAGGGACACCAACTCTGATCTGGACATGTTTCACTTGAGTTAGACTCATTCTGTAGGACATTTGGAGCCATTCTTCTTCATCGAAGTGAGAGCAAGTATTTTTTTAAGAACAAAAGCTCACAACCTTCCAATCACACTGATATTGCAAGGTCCAGAGTTCTACCTGAAACACTCTCTTCTCCAAGATCTTTTTCGCTTTGCTAAATTTCTTTTACACTTTCCTTCCTTTCAGCCTGATGAAATGAACACGCAAGTCTGTCTTGTTGCAAAAACACACCCAGTGCTTTATTCACAAAAAAAAAAATGCTGGACAAACTCAGCAGGTCCAGTTAGCATCTGTAAAAAGAATCAGAGTTAACGTTTCAAGTCCAGTGACCCTTTGAGAGTGCTGGCTTGATTAGAAGTTTGATATCATTTATAACAAAAACACCCACAGGGACCCACAAAATAATGTTACTAACTCAGTGGTCTCCACTCACAGCCACTGCTACAGGTTTCTCCCTCTGTGGCTGAGGATGAGGTGGAGACAGTCTGCTCACTGGTGCCTACCTGGGATGTACCTGAAGGTCAGCCTCAATGTATAGATACTAGGGGGCAGCATGGTGACTCAGTGGTTAGCACTGCTGATTCACAGTGCCATGAACTCAGGTTCAATTCCAGCCTCAGCTGACTGTGTGGAGTTTGCACATTCTCCCCATGTCTGTGTGGGTCCCCTTTGGGTGCTCTGGTTTCCTTCCACAGTCCAAAGATGTGCAGGTTAGGTGGAGTGGCCATGCTAAATTGCCCACAGTGTCCACGGATGTGTAGGCTAGGTGGGTTAGCCATGGGAAATACAGGGTTAGAGGGATAAGATGGGTCTGGGTGGGATGCTCTTTGGAGGGTTGGTATGGACTTGATGGGCCAAATGGCCTGATTCCATACTGTAGGGATTCTATGATGAGGTGCTCACCTGCAAAGGCTGCTGCACCAGCATCATAGGTTGTAAGTCCAAAGAATCCCCATCAACTCTGACTGATGTCTACAGGCTGGCCACTCCCTGTCAATGGAGAAGCTCATTTACTCAAAACCCTGAGAGAGAATGGAGCATGTTGTGATGAACGGACGTTGCTGACAAAGCCCTGAATCACAACCTGGAAATGAAATCCTGCCTCATCAGTACCCCTTGTGCTTTGTATGTACACTGTAAGGATATTCTGTTTTTTTTCAAACTTTTCAGATGATTAACTTATTGCTTCTTATCTTTTATTTTCTCTGCTTAAGAATCTGAGCTGGTTATGCCAGCCCAGTTGTAATTGGCGACTAATTTAAATAGCTCCCTCCTGGTCAGGTAATAACAAAATTATTTCTTTGAAAACATTGCTTTAATGGCAATATGCTGTCTCCTCCATATATTTCTCTTATGATTCTAAACACTATGGCTGGTCCTTTTGTTCCATTCAGTTTCAGAACAGCATTTTAGCAAAGTAATTAAGTTCTCTCTGTAATCACACAAGAAGCACTGACAAATGTTAAAACACGGAAATTGATTTGTAGAAATGTTCCTGCCACCCACAATACTAAAAGTACTGCAACTTAAGCCAAAGCCTCAGTCACAAAAAACAGTCAAAGGATGATTTTGCACAACAGGCAATCATTATAAATTTTGTTCTAAGTATATATTAAAGCCAAGAATATATAAATCAAACACTTTAAAAATCATTAACATGCAAATATGGACAACTGATTAAGAACAAAACTTCTAACTTCTTAGAATTCATTAATGAGGCAATGATCACTATAACATACTGCAGCAAAAAAGAAGGTTTTCTGGTTCTATTACCACTGGTCCCTCTATCATATCTAACAATCTAACAGTGGAGTAACTCACTATTGTTGGGTTTAAAGTCAGGCCTTGAGCTGGGTGAACAGAAGTGACCTGGGTTTGTGGTTCCAGCTGTTTTAGAGGAACAGTGGATGTAGGCAGGGACTGCAGAGTGGCCTGAGGTTGTAAGGCCTGTTGAAGCTGTGTAGGCTGGAGAGCAGTGTTCAACATTGAAGCAGCTGCAAGAGAATTGGGAAAAAAATATCAATTGTTCAGAATCAAGCACAAACTTCTAAAGTCCAGAATTATTCCATTACAGATGACAACATAGAAACCTGTCACCCTTGGATTTACCACATTCTCAGTTACATTGCCTACTGATCTCTTATTTGCACATGTTGTATTACCTACTTCATTTATTGTGGTTAAATTCCAAAGACAGGATGGTGGAAAGGTTTACCATTCAAAATGACTCTGCCATGCAATCTAGACAGTTAATATAACAAGAAATTAAGACGACTCTTGGGTTGCAATGTTAACGTCCCTATCTCTAAACTAGGAGGCCTGGGTTCAAGTTCCATCTACTTCAGAGGTGTGCAATAACATCTCTGAACAGGTTAATTTAAATTAAAAAATCCATGTAAGGAAATTTGGTGGTATAGGTTGTGCACCTGTAACTAAGTTTGTCCTATAGTCCTTTCTGAAGGGGGAACATAGTGTGTGAGAGCTGCTGGTGTGGTCTTGTCAATAAACTCTGTGCAAAAAAATACTTGTGCCTCTGAGTTTTTATTTGAACAGCCTGGTTGGAATCCAACAACATAGACTGTTCTGTTGAGTATTAAAGGATCTCAAGATGCTTATTGCTAGCAGACATGTTCACCACAAATGTAAACCAATGGCTAAACAGTGACTCTGAATTGAATCACTTAGCTGATATGATGCTGAACATTGAAAAACGTTCCACAACATTATTTGCCCAAGTTAACATTTTTTTTTTCTTATTTAAACAACACATGGTTAAAAGGAATTGAGTGCTGAAATTATTTTTCAGGAATGGTCCCTTTTCCAATAGAATCCATACAGTGTGGAAAAAAGTTATTTGGCCCAATGAGACCACACTGACTCTCTGAATAGCATCCCACCCAGACTCACTCCCTGACCCTAACCCTGTAACCCTGCATTTCCCATGGCTAATCCACCTAGCCTGCACATCCCTAGACACTATGGGCAATTTAAGCACGACCAATCCACCTAACCTACACATCTTTAGACTGTGGAAGGAAACCAGAGCACCCAGAGGAAACTCACACAGACACACCGAGTATAAGCAAACGCCACACAGTCTGCTGAGGCTGGAATTGAACCCAGGTCCCTGGCACCGTGTGGCAGCAGTGCTAACCATCAAGCCACCATGTCACCCCCATCCTACCATTAACACAGACTTGAGAGTGGAAGTTACAAACTGAGCATCAGTATAAAATCATTTTTATTTATGCTTGAGATATTTCAGCTTTTCCATGCAACTCTGTGTAGAACGATGTTGGTATTCCGCCCTTTCACTTAAAGCGTAAATTGGGGGCATAGCTTGTGAGGTTGTCAAAAGTCAATTAAAGCAAAACTATAGAATCTTCACTTCTGCAGAAGTATACAGGTTTCAAACTTGATAACATCTGGTGTGGCAGGAGGAAGAGGTGTTTCTCGTTCAGAACACTACACCAGGAAGAAAGAAACTGTAAAAGGAAAATTGTTCAGAAGCATGGGTGCAGAATGGAGTGCCACCTTTCTAGATGCCTGTGGGAGGAAGAAACAGCAGGAGCAGGAGAAAATGGCCAGAAGGCATTGTAGGTGCACCCATTAGAATGACCCATGCAGCTGGTGTTCTACCAGAGACAGAGAAAGCAGAAGGTCAGGAGGGGAGATCTATTTTGGCAAGCTTGGTTACCTTTTGCAGGCTATCCCCAGGATAAGACCTCTCACAAGATAAGACCTTCAGGTGTTGCTCTCCGGCAATATCTAACAATCGCGAACAAGCCCATGATCCTTAACCTTTTCCACCACAGTCATTCTAAGCAATTATAGGAGATCTGTTAGCAGCAGCTAGCTTGCAGTACATCTAGTTCCATCAAATAGATGGCTTGCCAAGATTTATCCACTTCGCAAAGGAACAGAAACAGCATATGGAGTGGCAGACGTATTTCTCCTGAAATTATGCATTCTCTAGCTACAGAGCTGACACTACATTGACAGTACTCCTGTTACAGTTTACGTGTCCCCAAATGGAGCATGGTCCTATGTGACTGAGAAGAGCAACAGCTTTCTGAATGTCCAAACATGTCCAGTCTTCCCTCTCAGCACTCCATATACAGCAAGCTTCCTCAGCAAGATCTACTAGCAGACATTCTTTGTGTCAAGCAATAGGCAACATGGGAAGTCCCTAAGAAGTTCCTTGTGACAAGCTCCACCTATTGAAAGGCAGGCTGTGAACTACCATGGTGAGAGTGCTTCTTGCTAAACAGATTCAGGACAAGCCAGGGGCCTAGCACAGTCACCTTCCACTGCTGGGGCCTTGGTGCAAACCCAATTACCTAGGAATGTCCTCACTACGTAGTAAGTGATGGTCTAATCACCTCTAAATTCAGCAAATGAGGCAATTGTTTGGCTCCTGGGGATTTGCATTTCACTAAATAAATATAATGCAATCGTATTTCTTGTATGTTCTCTGCTTTTTAAATATTCCAAATATCTGTAAGAAAGCCAAATGATGGCTATATGGTCAATGGATATTTGCAGGAATGAGATTTTTAACAGCTTTTCAATAGCCCTGTACATCAGTGCAGCACAGTTACAATGAGGCTCACATAAGGCAGATCAATCAGTGAGCTGCCAATTGGTTTGCTGGGCCCTCTTGTGGTAGTGTCCCTACCCCTGGACCAAGTGACCTGGGTTCAAGTCCCATCTACCCCAGAGGTGGGTAATAACATCTCTGATCAAATTGATTAGGGGAAAAATAGGTTAAGTTCAAAAAAACATTCAATTGGTTTGCTTGGAGGAAATATTTGAAGCCTAGCTCAGGGAGGCAAACTCTTTCTGGCACACTGAATGAAACAGATTGCGATCTCATGGGAAATAGTGCAGCAGCAATAAATGACTGCCATTCTAACACTTGTTCTTCTTCCCCTTCTGTAGATGTGCCACAATAAAATGGAGTTGGGGTCCATAAGCCAAAGCAGGTTGGGTATTAGAGCTTGCAGTATCCCAAAAACCAGTTATTGGATCTTACAAAACAGCAGCAAGGCAGATTTATTACTTTGAGGACAGTGCAGCGAGTGACACACAAGAATCAGCAAATTACAGTGGCAAACAGACAGTAAGTACAACCCATTTGAAAGTTAACTAATCTCTGTTCTGAGTTGAAGACAGTGATCCATACCTCAGGGGAATTAGATTTAGAGAAAAATGATTTCTCAGCATCAGAGATGCTAGTGTCATTGGGCAATACGCCAAGCTCTTTCACCACAATTATTCTTTGTTCCTGCATAGAAGAGAAATTCTGCAACCCATGGCGGAGCACATGGTAACTACAGACACATTGGCACAGGCTCCAATGGAACAAGCCAGTCTTGGCATCACTCAAGAATGTTCAAACTGCACCTGCTTCTCTGTATCCTCTTCTGTGAAAAGCCAGGCTTGGCAATTGCATAGAGATGGTCGTGATAGGAATTTTACCATTCTCAATGCTGTCATTAGGTCTGTTAATGTGGAGAGAAGTGGGCATATTGCACCAATATCCAATAGTGGACACGGACCTGGAATGACCATGGATAATTCAGTCTCTCAGGATAACAATACATCCTTATCCCCTGGAATGACCACACAAATGGCTGCTGTGTTTCCTACATTTCAAAAGCATGTAATTGCCTGCAAACATAAGTATAAACATATCAATCAGGAGCAGGAGTAAGCCACTCAGCCCCTCGGGCATACCTGACCATTCAATAAGATCATGGCTGATCTGATTCCTCCACATTCCTGCCCAGACCAGAAGATAAAGAACAGAATGAGGTCATTCAGCCCATTGGGTCTGCTCTACCATTTGATAATGGCGGATATGTTTCTCAGCCTCATTCTCCTGCCTTCTCCCCATAAACCTTGATCGTCTTACTAACCAAGAACCTATCTATCTCTGTCTTAAACATACTCAATGACTTAGCCTCCACAGCCTTCTGAGGCAATGAGTTCCACAGATTCAGCACCTTCTGGCTGAAGAAATTACTCCTCATCTCAGTTCTAATGGGTTTTCCCATCACTCTGAAGCCATGCTCTAGGGTCCTAGTCTCTCCTACGAGTGGAAATATCTTCTCCACGTCCATTCTATCCAGGCCTCTCAGTATTCTCTAAGTTTCAATCAGATCCCCCCTCATCCTTCTAAACTTCACGGAGTACAAACCGAGTCCTCAACCTCCCTTCATATGACAAGCCTTTCATCCTCGGGATCATTCTTGGAAACCTCCTCTGGACCCCCTCCAATGCCAGCATATCCTTCCTTAGATATAGGGTCCAAAACTGCTGACAATATTCCAAATGTAATCTGACCAGAGCCTTATACAGCCTTAGTAGTACATCCCTGGTCTTGTATTCTAGCCCTCTTAAAACAAATGCCACATTGCATTTGCCTTCCTAACTGCCAACTGAACCTACATATTAACCTTAAGAAAATCCTGCACTAGGACTCCCAAGACACTTTGAGCTTCAGATTTCCAAAGCCTTTCCCCATTTCGAAAATAGTCTATGCCTCTTCTTCTCACCAAAGTGCATAACCGCACACTTGTACCACATGGTATTCCATCTGCCACTTCCTTGCCCACTCTCCTAGCCTGTCCAAGTTCTTCTGTAGCCTCCCCACTTCTTCAATATTATCTGTCCCTTCATCTATTTTTGTGTTGCTAAGTTTGCAGATGACAATGCCCTCAGTTCCTTTGTCCAGATCGTTAATGAATAATGTAAATGGTTGTGGTCCCAACACTGACCCACAGCAGAACTCCACTAAGGCACCAGCTGCCATCCTGAAAAAGACTCCTTTATCCCCACTCTCTGCCTTCTGCCAATCCTCTACCCATGCCAGTACACTGCCCCTGACACCATTGGCTCTTATCTTATTTAGCAGCCTCCTGTGCGGTATCTTGTACAAGACCTTCTGCAAATCCAAACAGATCACGTCCACTGGCTCTCCTTTGTCTAA